AATACTATGTCAAATGTACGAGTTGGTGATCCATAAACAAAAATAATCCAACCTTGACAATAAATACCACATCTCTGTAAAAACCATTTCAAGTTTGACTGTTCTATGGTGACCAAATTTCTATGGTTTCTTAGCACTAAGTCAGTTCATACATAATGCCTATGAAATAAAGTTCAATATTTTCAAACACCTTCCCCTAAAGCAGTCGCCACTATTAATGACATATCGCCAAACTTGATTGAATAAAATATGTACCTCACAGATAGAGGGCAGTACAATATGGCATCCTAATTAAATGAATTACAGCCTCTTGTTTGAATTTGAATATATCTAAGTACAGTATAGTATAGTAAACAACATTCATGGGTAATCTAGATGCAATATTTATGCACAAAATATATTACTTTGAACACTTTCTGTCAGGTAAGGCATTATAGACATGGACAGTCCATTGGAACAATTTTCATTCGTGTTTGGTTATGGTGTAATTCAGCATACTGAACTGGAAAGCCATTTATTTTCACTGACATTTAATTTCACTAGTTTTATGTTTTGCGATTATTCACTGTGCTTTTAATTTCACAAATAACGAGTTTTATTGTTATTTTACATGTTCACATAGATATATTTATTAGATTTACTTATCAGCGAAAATAGTGAAATTAAAACCCAGTGAATAACTAATGCATTTACAGTCATTAGTACACTGTATACAGCTTGATACTTGCCAGGAATGGTGGTAGCTGTTCACTTTTACAATTCTGAATCTTCTGAAAGAATACATCCGTAACTGATTTCAAGCCATCGCACCTATCTAGTATTGTATTTGGTCAAGGAATCGCACTATGGATTTAAATTATCAAACTCAGTATTTATTTTCTGGATCCCTGTACATGTATGTATTCGTAAAAATAACAACAACAACAACAAATGAAAGTTCTCGTCTGGTACGAGACCTTATTCAATATTATATCTTTATTAAAGGTAATTAATGTTTTTAACATACAAAATATAGGCTAGATCCACATTGATGGGAAACTTCCTTTGCTGACGATGTCTGAACTCATTAGAAAGTAAATCCATTCAAATGACCGTAACACTAACAGAACACAGCGGTCATGCAGGTTGGTCTCTTTCCGCTAATCAT